CTCTGAATTATCTGGTGAATTAATTATGAATTAATTATCTGATGAACGTGACATGCTCTTGCTCTCTGTAAATAAAGCAAAGCCACTTCCTCGTCCGACATTAAACAGAGCCCGACAGAGGAGGGAGGGGCGGGGAGGCTCTTGCCATGCAGCGCTTCAAGAGCTGACCTGCGTCTGACCTCAGAGTGCACAAGCGTCCAACTTGAAGCGTTAGATGCGATTTTGAAGCTGAAATCGCGTTCGGTGTGAATGCAGCATAAGATTTGTCTTGTCTTGTCTTGTCTTGTCTTACATGAACCTTTTTATCTGTGAATCTTTTTGCCCTGTGTGGATTTGTGTTGTCACGTTATATATTCAGGTTTGGTTTGTTGAAACGTAGTTATTGACTGTAAAACTGACACCATGACTGAGACGTCTGGTCCAGGAGAATAGAGAGAAACTGAGCGGTAGACTGGACATCACTCTATTCATTTTTTAAACATGGTGAACGTTAACGTGTTAAACATTAGTTTAGGATTAGTTTCCATCAATTTTATGTTCAGCTTTTTATCATTAGCAGATCTAAAAAAAAGTATCTGTTTATTGGTTAGCTGTGCCACCACTGCTAAACATAACCCAACTTACCATTTTCCTTTCTCAGTTGACTCCGTCTCCTCCACTGCCGGTGTCCCTGTCCCTGGAGGATTCGGAGCTGCTGTCCTTTTACTCCTCTCAGAGCCTGGCTCACCTGTCCTGCCTGGCGGACGCCATAGACGTGCTCTTCGGCAGCTTGAAGGGTAACCAGCCGCCTCGCATCTTTGTGGCCAGAGGGAAGAATCTCATTGTGACGGCGCACAAGCTGGTGTTTATTGGGGACACGCTTTCCCGTCTTCTGACGTCTGCTGACCTTCGAGCTAAGGTATTCAGAGAATTTCATTATTTTTTTAAGTAGCTGTGAYGTTGCTATCCTTCATATACAAAAAAATCCCAGGAAACATCTTTATATTTAAGAAACTTGGCATAATACATACGGTTTTATCAATTTTGTCACATAACTGACCTATTTTCTGCTGAATTTGGCTCAGTCAAAGTGAAACAGGAAGTGACATCAAAGGGGAACTCTTTAAGAATTCCTGTTTTTTCTTTATTGAAACATTATTTGATGTTTTACTCTTCATCTCTCTGATAGTGACTCAAAATAATCTAAAGAAACAGATTCTTCTCTACAGTCTGTGTTTAGTTATTGTAGCAACACTCTGTTCATGTCATTCCCCTTTGACATCACTTCCTGTTACTTCACACAACTATCTCAGCAACTGTTCATCTCAGCAGCGTGATATTTTGTTTACAATATTTTTTCAATGTTATCTTCCTAAAAATGCTTTCATATTTAATACAAAAATGTGATGTCACAGGCACTTTAATACGTAACTGTTAATAAAATCAAGTCACATTTGAGGTAATTTTTATTTCATATTCTTCAGATCACCACATCTGGAGGCCGACTCTGCCAGGCTTTGAAGGCGGTGGTTGTGGCAACAAAGGGCGCCGCTCAGAACTACCCGTCAGTATCGGCCTCCCAGGAGATGGTGGACCGCGTCGCAGAGCTCTCGCAGCATGCAGCCGGCTTCTCCACTCTGCTTCAGCGTTTGGCAGAAATATCGTCGTGATATTTCACWTCGTCTCGTCTTCACTACACCGATGTTTTCTTCTTGAAATGCCTTATTTGTTGGGACACTTCTTATCTGGCAACGTTCGACTAGGATGGCATCCTGCAGCAGAGTGTTTTTCAGCACATTGCAGCTGTTTCTAAGCTGGGCTTCTAGTTCTGTCTTCAAAGAGCACGTGTGGTTTACTTTTCTTTGCCTTTGTTTATGTACCGGCATTTTTGCTTTGATGACAYGTTTTTTATTTTATTTTTACTGTTAACTTATAGAAAATTTGAAMCCCCCCCCATGGTTGAAGTGTCCGTGTGGACGTGTTATTTTAGGAGCTCTGCTTTAATAAGCTCGCCATATTTCCTTTCCCTGCACATGATAGCCATTTTTTTTTATCCTTCCTTCCTTTATTTATTCAGCGAGCCCCCCACTCCAAAAATAAGTGTAAGAGGAGGCCTTGCATCCTGGTTCTGACCCGCTTTTCTCAATGTTACCTGATAGGCCTTTTTGTTATCATAAATCGGAAGCGGATTTAGCTGCATGCTGGGGATTTTTTGTGCTTGGACTAAGCAAATTTACATTTCAAGGAGAGTCCTTAAGAAAAACTTATTTTATTCTTCTTGAGCTCGGTTCTACTTGGAACTATTTGTTGCAACCCTCAGTTTGACTTCAGTTTACCCCTACTGTCGTACGCATGTTGTAATAGTTAAATTTAAAAGAAAAGGAAAGTCCTCAGTGACGAGGAGAAAAAAATATGCAGGAGCTAATCAAGTGTTAGTGAATGACTAATGATAGTTGGGTGAGAAATTTCTTAAACCTGCTCTTTCCCACAGTCACGTGTAAAGGAGATATAAAAAAAACCTGTTGACCAAGCTCACATGCTGCAACATGTCATGTTTTGAAGAGTAGCGCTAAATATCTCCCTACTTTGATTTTGAGCTACATTTTCCTCAAAGATACCCGCCACTGTGATTTGTTTATTTAGGACTAGAGGGGGCGATTAAATCTAAAACTGGTTGTTGCGTCACAATTTACGATAATGTAAAGTTTACACTAAAAACTTACAGATTATTGCTGTAACACTGATCTTCACCATGCTGCCCAACCTTTGTGAAAACTACAATATAAAGCACAATCCACTTTCTGAATGCCTCGTCCATCCGTGCATCCATCATATCAAATGTTTTTCGTGTCTCACTACAGTTCTGTTTACGCTGAATTATGTGTTGCGCAGACTGAAATATATTTTACCACATTTACACTACAAAYCTAAATTGTGTGAACAAAAACTTTTTTTTTTTACATAGGACTTTTTTTTGGCTGTTACGTTTTCCTTTCTTCAGAGCCATCTTGTGGAAGTTTGAAGTATTTAAGAAGCCTGATCAAACACTAGGAAAGAGTACACGATGGACGGTTCTTACACACATTTATTCTTGTCAACCCCCTGTGTGTTTTTTGCTTTCCCCTTGTTTTGCATGGCTTGGTTTTAATATTTTATGCACACCTTTCACAAAGGAGATTTAAGTGGACGACTTGCCATTTTTTATAAATATATTTTACATTACAAGTCAAAAATATGAGGAATTTTTTGTATGTTTTCTTTTTTTTTTACATTATGTGAAGTCTGTAGAGTCTTATATGTATTTGATAATACATTGAAATGAATCTTGGACTTATTTCCTACTTTTCAAACACTACATTTAATGTCTGTCATCAGTTCCTGTTCAGTACACAGATTTTTTTTTTTACAACAAAGCAAATGTGTTTGCTTGTGTGCAAATTTATACCTAAAATGTGTTTATATAACATTTTTTCATTCGGGTTCTGTAAATAACAATGTTATTTATTGACCCTGCTGGACATTTCTTTTACCAAATGATGTAGGTGGCCTAGTTTTTCATTAGGATAAAAAAAGTTGAAAGAAACACTTTCCTTTTCCTGAATAAAGCTTGACAAATAACTGTGACCATGGACATGACCTTTTTTAGAAGTTCCTGTACCGGTATGCGATTCGGGGCGAGCCGAGYGTTTTCCGAAAGCTACCGAGTAGTGACGCCGAGCGACGGCCGTAGCGACGTTTGTTGGGGGAGTTTAGCGGAGGGAGCAAAATGGCGGACGAAGATATTACGCTTGATGGAAAACCTCTACATTCGCTCCGAGTTGCGGATTTGAAAGCTGCCCTGGAGCAAAGGAACCTCCCGAAAAGCGGGCAGAAAAACACACTTATTAAGCGACTGAAAGGGGTGAGTTTTTGCGCTTGCTTTGCCCGTTTGTGTCGAGTTTGGCTAAAATAAGTTCGGCAGGAGGCGAGTGATGTGTGTGTGTGTGTGTGAGCGTTAGAGGCCGTGACGGTGTGTAGAAGCGGGAATATGTAAATAGTCATGCAGACGTTATTACAAGTCCACCAGTGTTTACAGTGATGGACAATGCAACAAAAGTACTTGCCCAGCGAGTTCGGCCTGGACTCTGAAGCACTCGCCGAACACCGTGTTGCACACAGTTGAACTGTGCACCTGTCAAGTCGAGGCCTAAGCYGAGAGTATTCAACAGCCGCACACAGTGTACAATAGTACATGACGGAATCCGCGTCCACGATGTCCCCATCTGTGTCGGGAGCGCGTGTCGCCTTGTAAACACAAAATTTGTACGCGCGTCACCTTCCGCCGCTTTCAGCACTTTGTATTTATTTTTTATTTCTTTTATTGAATATACACCGAGGTGGTCTAACTTTAGGGGACGTCCAACCAATAATGCTCCAGATTAAATCCATCAGATTACTCTTCCATAATGTTTCTAAGTGATTTAAAAAAAAAGAAGAAAATTATTTCATTTACACAAAGTTTTGGAAAAGGGAAAGTTAAGTATCATTTTAGTTCATTTCCACATAAAGTTTGTTTATTTGTGCAAGATTAGTTAAATTTGTTCTAACTCATTGGGTCGGTTATACGACTGGATTGATCTGAACTTAATGCATTAGAATTTCATTTTACATATTGGACTTGATTGTWACTGGATTGCACTGGAATAAATGGGATTAGATGGAATTATTTTGCAGGCATGTAATTGGATTTGCACCAGACTTATCTGCATGGTTGTTAGCTTTTCTGTGAAGTACCCTGATAACTTTTGTGAGTTGTTTTGATATAACTAAACCAGGAGTGACCATTCCTGGTCGAATTCCACCATCCTGCATCTTTTTAGAGCAGAGGTATTCAACCCTGTTCCTCATAACCTAYTATCCTGCAAGTTTGAGATGTTTCCCTGCCTTTACACAGCTGACTGAAATGAATGAGTGATTTACAGGCTTACTGTACTTGATAACATTCTGAGTAGGGCTGTGTATTGGCAAGAATTTGGCGATACGATACATATCATGACAGAGGGGTCACGATACGATATATCCCAATATATTTAGATACTGTAAACAAGGCGATATATTGCGATATTTTTTGTCCAAAATTTCTATTAAATAAAAACCTCTTACTGGGAGAAAAAAAAACAAAAAACCAAAATTCATTGTCTCAGAAAATTCTAATATTACATA